ATAATTTTACACCCCCCCCCCCCCCCCCCCGAAAAGAACCACTAGGAAAAAAAAAAAGAGGAAAAAAAGGGGGGAAGGAGACTAAAGTTAACAAAAATAAAGGAATAAAGGGCGCTGCGCCTTTAAATGGTCTCGCACTCCTCACTCCCCCTCCCCTGCCCGACATGGCCGGGGAAAATTGTCCCCGCCGGGCTTCCGTCCGAGGGAAACAGGAAATACCGGACATTTCACACGTCCGGTATTTTCTGGGGTTTTTTATTTACCAGACCGGGGACCAGAACAACAGACAGTCTGGGCGAAAACCAGACACCTGGCAACCCTACTCCCATCCACTCTCCAGAAAGTAACTTACGTCTTATGTATAGTCTGGAAAAGCTGCTGTCCCTCCAGAGAGACTCCAGCACTAATTGCATACGCCTGGCTCAGTTTCTCTTCTTTCTCCGTCCGTGCTTTGTTGGCAAGCTGGAGTGAGGGAAACAAAGACCTGGAGCATTAGTGATTTTGACCACAAACAACAGAGTGCTGCTTCATCGCTCCCACTTGGGAAACAGAAAGTAACACTGGCCAGCCTGCATTTGACAGAGGCAAATCCTGCCAATGAAACGGTTTGTACAGAAGGCCACCCGTTACAGAAATAAAATGTTACATGACAATCACAGGGGAAAAATCAAACTGAGCATAAAGCAGGGCTCCAGGAGAAAGACTTCAAGCCTCTGCTAGTGCAAGAACAATCCTGTAGCCCACAGCTCAGATACGCACTGAGTTTGAGCAGGCTGAGTATGAAGCCCTGCCCCAAAGATCTTACAATCTTACAGATTGTAAGGTCTTTGGGGCAGGGACTATCCCCACTCATACAGCTGTCAATCGGAAGCACCACAATTCAGCTCCACTGCATAGAGCTCTGACTAGTCAAAGGGGAGATTCCTACTTGCATCACATCTGTTTTACAGCTCAGTTCTCTGCCCCACCACTGTAAATCCAGCCGGGCAGGCAGGGAGCTGTGAATAGGCTTCATGCTACCGGACCTTAGTTCATGTAAGGGACTGTCAGGTTACAGAGATGGTGCCACGAGCCTCTCTGAAGAGCCAAGTCTCCTGGCCATGCTCTGACTGTCACCTCTGCAGAACACAGCCCTTTGGGGTCTGGGGGGTGGGGCCAGGACTGTGCCTTCTAGGCACTAGAGCAGGGGTCTGCAGCATATGGCTCTTCTGAAGTTCAAGCCCAGCCCTGCCTTGCTCCCCTGCACTGGTGCTGCAGCAGGCCCCCAGGCAGCCTCCCCTTCTTGCCCCCCCACATAGAAAAGCCACTACAGGGCCCTTTGTTTTTTGGAGGTGGGGGGGAGGAGAGGGCGAGGTGATGCCTTGTGGCTGCTCCCACCCCCAGCACAATCCCATTGGCTAGTTCTGGCGAATGGAATCTGCCTGTTTCAAGAACAGGCCTCAGGAAGCACCAATGCCCCTCCCCTCAGGCTCTTAGGTCAGCAAGCACATGGCCAGGCAGCCTGTGGGGGCAGAACAGGCTCCTTCCAGAAAAAGATGCTGAGCTGCAAGTCTCACTGGTAAGTGTCTGGTAAGAGCCTGGCTCTGGCACCCCAGCCTCCCCACGTTCTGCCCCCCCACTCCAACCCCCTGCCCCACATAACCCAAATCTTCTGCCCCCTCCTGCCCCAGGTCACAACCCCTTTCGAGACCCTTCCTCCCCTCCTACACTGCTCTTCCAGCCAACAACTCACTCCCAGACTTTGCACCCCCTCCTACACCTCTCCTCCAGGCCTGCCCCACATAACCCAAATCTTCTGCCCCCCTCCCTAGCCCATACCTCCTCCCACTCACTGCACCCCAAACTCCTGCCCCAGATCACAATTCCCTCCTGCCTTAGGTCACAACATAACCCCCTGCACTGTAACCCCCTGCCCTAAGTTACAACTGCACCCCAATCTTGTGCTTTGGGTCACTCCTTCACCCAAACTCAGTGGCCCCCGGACCCAAAAAAACCCTTCCCACCCCTACCATAAAGACAATGCTGAAACCTTGTGTTGGATAGTTTTACTTTGTTTAAAAATGAAGCTCAGCCAACAAACCCCCAATCAGGGCCCAGCCCCCATCTGGCTGCACCCCTCCCCCCACACCAACCCTGAACCCATCATACACCTGAACCACCTGCCGTGAGCCCCTCATGCCCCCACAACTAGGGATGTTAAATATTGGTAAATTGAACAGTCAAGTAACCTCATGAATTCTTATCGGTAAGTCGACCATTCTGCAGTCCCCAGGGGTTGGTCTAGCAGCCAGTGCACGCTGGCCTCACTCCCGATGAGCCCCCAGCCATGCCTTGCTGCTGCCTCTGTATCAGAGGCAGCAGCACGGGGCAGCAGCAATCCCTGTCTAGGGCAGGTCTGAGCTCTTGGACCCAGCATGAGCCGGAACTGAGCTAGGCTGCCTGCTCACCTGGCTCCTTATACATTTTAAATGCAGAACCGCAGCAGGGGTAAGTCCCTGACTCATCGCAAGCCAGGACCGAGCTGGGCTGCTGGCCAGCCTGCTAGAAGTTTTACCGGAAGGGGGAGAGAAATGCGGGCAGTCTTTAGCATTAACCCATAAACTTTTGCTTATCGGTTAATCAGTTGATGGACTACACTATTACATCCCTACCCACAACCCCAGACTCCTGCACCCCCACATCCCCAGCTATAAAAGTCTGGCAGAAGACAGCCTGAATACACACAGGAGGCTGGATTTGACCAGTAACGATGTAAATGTCAAAGAAATGTGTGAAAAGATGCAACAGCAGAAGTCCCATTAAATAAAGTCTATGAATACAAGGTTTCATTTTTGCTATTATTAATCTCTGACAAAGTCCCTCACCAAAGACTTAAGTGAAGTAAGTTTTCATGGGATAAGAGGGAAGGTCCTTTCATGGACTGATAACTGGTTAAAAGACAAGAAACAAAGGGTAGGAATAAATGGGAAGTTTTCAGAGCGAAGAGGGGTAATTGGTGGGGTCCCCCAAGGGTCTGTCCTGGGACCAATCCTATTCAAACTTATTTATAAATGGTCTAGAGAAAGGTAAACAGTGAGGTGGCAACATTTGCAGAGGATACCAAACTGCTCAAGATAGTTAAGACCAAAGCAGACTGAAGAGCATCAAAAAGACCTCACCAAACTAAGTAACTGCCATTGTTGCCCAAATGAAATTTAATGTGGATAAATGTAAAGTAATGCACTTTGGAAAAAATCATCTCAACTCTACATACAATATGATGAGGACTAATTTAGCTACAACTACTCAAGAGATCTTGGAGTCATCGTGGATAGGTCTCAGAAAACATCCACTTGATGTGCAGCAGCAGTCACAAAAACAAAAAATGTTAGGAATCATTTAAAAGGGATAAAGAATAAGACAGAAAATATCTTATTCCCTCCATATAAAACCATGAGACGTCCACATTTTGAATACGGTGTACTGATGTGGTCGCCTCATCTAAAAAAAAAAAAAGATACATTGGCATTGGAAAGGGTTAAAAAAGGGCAACAAAAATGATTAGGGGTTTGGAACAGGTCCTATATGAACAGAGATTAAAAAGACTGGAACTTTTCAGCTAAGAAAAAAGAGGAGCCGGGGGGATATGGTAGAGCTCTATAAAATCATGACTGGTGTGGAACAAGTGAATAAGGAAAAGTTATTTACTTATTCACACAATACAAGGACTAGGAGTCACTAAATGAAATTAACAGGCAGTAGGTTTAAAACAAACAAAAAGAAGTTTTTGTTCACTGAGCGCATAGTCAACCTGTGGAACTCCTTGCCAAAGGATGTTGTGAAGACTAGGACTTTAACAGGGTTTAAAAAAAAAAAAAGAGCTAGGCCAGTGGTTCACAAACTTATCAGCATCGTGCCCCCTTTTTGATTTTTGAGAAATCCTCACCCCCTCCCCCCCCAAAATAGCAACAAAACTTGAGCAAAAAAATTTAAAATAAAATAAAGGAACTGACCGGGGGAGCAAAACTTGATGGGGGGAAGGGGGGGCGGGCAGCACTGGGATGCCCCATGCAACCCCTGCAATTTCTCCCCCCCCCACCAAGAGGGGCTGTGACGTAGTGGGGGTACCTGGATGGTTTCTATGCTGCTGGCTCTGGGGTAACCCCCACTGGCTGCCATGGGTATCACGACCCAGTGAAACAGGATGAGTCACTATGCAAACCAGTCTTGAGCAAAAAAATTTAAAATAAAATAAAGGAACTGACCGGGGGAGCAAAACTTGATGGGGGGAAGGGGGGGCGGGCAGCACTGGGATGCCCCATGCAACCCCTGCAATTTCTCCCCCCCCCACCAAGAGGGGCTGTGACGTAGTGGGGGTACCTGGATGGTTTCTATGCTGCTGGCTCTGGGGTAACCCCCACTGGCTGCCATGGGTATCACGACCCAGTGAAACAGGATGAGTCACTATGCAAACCAGTATGGCCAGACACCCCCCATGGAGAGGAACAAAGGAAGGTGGAATGCTGCCCTGGCTGGGGGGCAGGGCTGGAAGAAGGTTGGTTAGTTGCTGTCTGAGAGCATGGAGGAGACAGCCTAGGGAAAGGGGCTGGAGTTTAGGGGCCCAGTCTCCCCCATCTCAAGGGGGCCTGAGGCATCCTAGCCCAGCTCTGTGACCAGATTCCATCTGTGCTGTGCTGCATCCTGGAGAGGCAATAACCTTCCTCTATTCCACCGGCTGGTGCAGTCTGTGCCATTTCGGGGTGCAGGAGACGGGGGACCCCCAACGTGCCGTCACAGGGGCATGCCCCCCAGTTTGGGAACCCATGAGCTAGACAGATTCATGGAGGTTAGGTCCATCAATGGCTATTAGCCAGGAGGGGCAGGAATGGTGTCCCTAGCTTCTGTTTTTCTGGAAATGGATGACCGCTGTGTTCTCCCCCTCCGGGACGGCTGGCATTGGCCATGTCGGCTGACAGGATACTGGGCTAGATGGACCTTTGGCCTGACCCTGTATGGCTGTTCTTATGTTCAAATCATTATGTCAATTATCAAGAATACTAAGCTGTATATTTTCAGTTATGCAAACAGGTATTCTCTTACAGCTCTTTGTTGACTACCTGTTCTGCATTTTGATATAGTTTGGCTCTTTGTTCTGAAAAGGTTGCTGACCCCTGCATGAGAGTAACACGGCCAATACACACCTGACAGGAACCTGCACAGAGACTGCGGCCAGGATCGGGCCCCACTGGGCCAGGCACTATGCGGAGTAGGGATGTGAACGACTAGTCGACTATCCAATAAGCAAATGTTTACTGAATAGTTGACACACGAGTCATTTACCCACCCTCGCTGCCTCTGTCAAAAAGAGGAGAGGAAAAGCGGGTGATTCACAGCAGTAGCACTGTGTGCAGCTCGGGGGGTCAGCTCAGGCTCCATGCAGAGCTTCTGTTTTGAAACGTGGGGAGCACAGAGCCAGTGGGGGA